TACCTGCACTCTCATAAGTTCATTTAATGCTGGTTGGTAAGCATGCTTGCCAGCGTCTGCAGCAATTTGTCCAAGTGCTGTCTTCACAACGAGTCGTCTAGCGTGTGCCTGCTCCGTAGTTGGACCCAGTAGTGTGCCTACTACCTCCTGCAGGTGGAGTCGGTGATTCTTCTTGGTGACACTCGGGCGGCTACGTTGGTTTGATCGTGGAGACAGGAGCGGCTCCACATGGTGCCTGTCTATCCAAGTCAACCATGCCTCGGTATTAATATCTTTCCGTCCAAGTAGCCACACAACCGCTTCCTTGACCCGTTGTGCTTGAATTGCTACGGCAATATCGGCCAGCCCCAGTCCCTCAGCTTCTCGTGGTGTAAATACTAACGACGGCGACATCTTGTGCTAACTCAGGTCTTCTATTACTTGCTGCCTCCACAGAAACGGTTTCTGAAGATTTACAAGTTAGCGTAGAATTGCCAGCGACGGTGGAAATACCTTGGCCGTAAATAGCACCGATGGTAGCTCTATCGTGTTGAGAAGATGGACACGGTCGCGAATAGAAGTTCCAAATTATTCCGCTGTTGCCATTCGCTGTTTTACACTTCGAATTCGTTTAGCCCAGTTCCAGTTGTGAAGGTTTGAATGGCCGATATCGTAGCCCAGGTATCGCACTGTGTCGTGTGCTGCAAGGACTGGGGTGCCATACAAGCTTACCTGGGTGATGGCTTTGTTCAGAAAGATATACTTACTTTTATCCGGCTGCATTTTCAACCCCGATATTTCCCCGAGTTCCTCGACAATGGCCAGTGCTCGAGGAAGCTGGCTGCTTTGCTGTATAAATACTGTCGAATCATCCACAAATGCTGAGAATTGGTCTTCCTGAGCTGGATCCAAACCTGGTACTGGAACCCCTTTGAGCTGAGTATCCTGAGAAATTGCTATCCCCAACAGATCTGCAGCTAGAATAAATAACATAGGAGCCAAGTGGCAGCCCTGCCGTATCCCGGACATCACGTTCATCGGCCCCGAGAGCTTCCCATTTACCAAATACAGCGCTGTTGTATTGTCATGTAATCTCTCGACCAGGGCTACGAACCCTGACGCAAATCCGAATTGACGGAGTACTTCCAACAAGTAGACTCTATCGACGGTGTCATACGCCTTTGCGAAATCTATCTGCAGGATGCCCGCGCTATCTCCCGCGGATTTGAGGTCGTCCGTAACTACCCCATCTATCTGAGCTATCATGATGATGACCGATCTGCTCATCTGCCTTCCATGAACAAATCATTGTTGAGTATCTCTAATCAGCCGCCCGAGGAAACGTTGAAGTCGTGTTGCGATCACCTTTGCAAATATTTTATAGCTCGTTTGCATTGGCCTATAGTCAAGTGCGTTTGGAGAATCCCCTTTCATGCGCAGCAACATGATAATGGCCTTCATGAACGATCCCGGTGGGAGGGCTCCGTGTAGTAGTTCATTGCATACTTCCACACCATCACTTCAGACCCATCACAGT